AAATAAGAGTGAGTCATGTTAGATAGTACGCAACTTATATTACTGATTATGATTAGTAGGTTATAAATTTGGTATGAATGAATTAGCCAAGTTACATGAGTTGGTGGAAATGACTCAAATGAATGCTCTAAAACATACTTGGCTCTAAGAGACTTCACTTAGAAGCATAAAGTTTCATTAAGAGAGAATTGGTGTTTAATTTTTCTCATTAAGGTATCACCCCTTTGCATGAGATAAAGAGAGAAGTTAACTTATTAAATTTGATGTTATCATTATTGTGAGGGGAATTGACCATCAAAGTCCCTTCATCATGCTTTCCACTAGTTATGAATGAGCTGTAAGTAGGAAACCGCATAATTGATTATACAAGAAAAAAATAAAGTCAGAGATGACACATGGCTGGTTGTTACTTAGCAGAGATTAAAGGAAAAACCCAGCGTACTATAACTATCTTGTAGGCTTAGTGGTCAATTAAACGGAATATTAGTAAACAAAGCAAACATGTGTAAACTATCATGCTTCCTAAGAGTGATAAGAATACATAGCATAAAGTTTAAATTTTGAGACACTTAGCTCTCTTTGTTAGTATTTGCTACTAGAATAAATCTCATTAATTATACTTTAATAATGGAGAAAAGGCTTGGACAATATGCTTTCTTTTCTCTATATATGATAAATGGAGTGATAGAGCATCTATAGAACCTTTAATTATAATGTTAGCATGAGTGATGATGGGAATATTCTTGTGATTGTGAAGATGTTATGCCATGAATGGTCACATAGTTTTTTTGGCTTAGGAGATCATAATTATTGATGGAGTAAAGAAAATGGATATTGATATTTTCCTTTTGAGCTTAAATTTCTTTCAAATATGGGTTTTCAACGAGAGCACAAAAAATATAAATAATGAAAATGAGTTAACCATTAGGGGGGCACTATGTGGCTTAAGGAAAGATTGATGGGAACTTGGGGCTTGAATATTTGCAATTATGAGTAAGAAAATAAAGGAGGTATAAGCCATCAATCTATCTTTGAGAGAAGAATCAAGTGGTGAGGAACATGGCTTATTATCCTTAAGTGTAACCAACATAAAAAAGGAGGAAAATGAAGAAGACATAAGAATATGATGATATACATGATTTTATTTTGTAGCATATGTTGGTTGTATAGGTAGGGTGAGAAATCTACTGTGAAAGGGAGATAATATAAGGAATACTCAATTCAACTTTTTTTGTTATAACTCTATAGGCGGGAGATGAAGGTTATTGGAGAAAAGGGAAGACAACCTCCTAGAAGTATCCATCATGAAGAAGAGGAAGAAGGAAACAACATATATGTTAATGTATGCAATTCAACTTTACACCATATGTTGGCAATGCAATAAGAGAAAGAAATCCACCATGAAAAATAAATAATATATAATATAGAATGGTTCATCAGACCTTAACATGTGAAGCCCAATTGGTGCGTGACAAAGGAGAGGAGGCACTTCCTTTAGACGATTTCATTCGTAATAATTTAAGTGAAGGAGGAGGAAGAAGGAAAAAAAGCACATATGTCAATGTTTGTAGTTTGACATTATAACATATGTTGAAAGTGTAATAAGAGAAAGAAATCCACCATGAAAAATTATTAATACATAATATAGGAAAGGTTTAGGAGGCCCTATCAAGTGAAACCTAATTGGTGAGTGACAAAGAGAGGCGGCACTTCCTTTAGATGACTTCAATCCCTTCGACCATCCATGATACATATTGAAGGCATTGAGATCTAATGAAGAAAAACTATGTTGATTAGTCAACAATGTTTGAGTTGTTTTCCTTGAACTAATCAAAAAGGATGAAAGCCCAAATGCTAATAAACAAGGAGAATGGTGTCGATGAGATGTGCATTAAGATGATTGAAATAGTATTGTAGAAGTTTGCTATGGCTGAAGGAATCTGGATGAAGTGGATAGGGTGAAATTAAGTGGTCCTTCGGGAGCTAACTTTTTGGCATTAAAGATAAATTAACTAGAGATGTATGTAAACTCAATGTAATTTGTAAGGAGATATAGACGAAGCTATGAATTAGATAATTAATGACATTAGTTATTGGTGCCTATCGAAGAAAAGATATTATCCAAATGTTATATATATATATATATATATATATATGTTGGTAGGGAATGGGATGTGCTAGTTCGGGCATGCCATCAAGGACCAGAGGGACATGGTTGAAAGTTGATTATCATATGAGAATTTGAAAACTTACTAGCATTAATTTATATCAATTAGGAATTATTGAATGAGGGCATCTGCAAGAGAGTTATTAATTAGGAAAATTGTTAGTTGGACAACTAGTGGACTAGGATTTTTGAAGCCATATGACACTTTAAGATGTGAGCTTGTGTGGTGGTAAGGAAGGCACCAATAGAGTAACCATTAACTAAAAAAGATGATTGGTCTCAGTGGATTGTGATAATAAGACGAGCTGAGGAGATTTGATTGGATGATGGAGTAACTGACTTAAAATCTATTGCTATAAGAGTCATTTGAAGCTGATTTTAAATCGAGTTGATGAATATGACCTTCCTAGTAGAGTTAACTTGAATAAAAACATTGATGACTCTAACTCAACTAAAAAATCTTGTCACATGTAAAACTCAAATTGGATATGAAATATTAGGCAGCAAATTAGACACAATCACTTATAATTTAAGTTGCTTGCAAAGGAAAAATTCCAACTTCTTTTAACTCTCACTTGTTATCATCATAAATTGGGTGGCATTTTTTTTATAGATATAATAAAATGAAAAAGATTGAAGTGAAGACAAACAATTAGTGTTAATGAAAGTTCATTAGTAAAAGGGATAAGGTATGCAAATGGGCATTTATTGTCATTCTAACACATATATGCAATAGAATGCGAAAAAATTATAACGTTTAACTTTCATGTTTTGTAATAATTGTTCATGCGACAAATTTTGATGAGGTACGGGACCGTCTAATCAAAATGTTTAGGTAGATTAACTAAATAATAGGAAAATTATACAATAAAGCCACTTCCCAAAGATATGAGATTGGTATGCTCGTCTAGCCAGCTAGATAAATTACTCTTAGACACAAGTAATCAAGCTTCCATATGCAACAAATCAAGTTAATTCCTCTCCAGCATTTCTTACACAAGCACAAGCATGTAGAGGATATGATGTAAAGAACTCAAGCTCTTAGATCGTGAACTCTGCTAGACTAAGTGTTGGTAAATTTGTTTATACACATAATGAATGTAGGCTTTTAGGCCCATTGACCAATCAATAGAATTTTTTTGTCTACTCACAACATCTCTAGTGTAGGAGAAGATTAAAAAAAAAATTAAAATAATGTAAAATTCTTAACTCTACTATAAAGCTTTAGCTTAATTTGAAATGATTAAGGGATGATAAATTAAATTAGAATATCACATATATATTTAAATTCAAAATTATATGACATGATAATTATATATAATGGGCACTTACATATATATTACTAAAAACTTCATTATTTGCATATTTAACATCTGAAATTTATTATTTGCTTACATACCACTTAATTCTATAAATAATATATATAAAAAAAACATTACCTTGCTCATCCTTATTGGTAACTTCTTGTTAACAATGCTCTTCTTCTTCATGATTTCTTCGAATTCATCTTTGTTTTTGAGGTTTTGGCTGCACATATTGTCAATCCTATCAACAACATCCCAACATGATCTCGCGACGATCGTCTCTCAACATCTTTATCATCGAGGGTTTTGAGACTGCACAACCTACCATTCTCATCAATGACCTTTATTCCATCATATCTCATCCGCATATATCGTATCGTACTAGCCTTTGCTGTGACTCCTGTAACAATTTTTTTACAGATAAGATCAACCAATTGATACATTCAATAAATAAAAAAAAAATTATGTAATAAATAAAGTAATTTGATTGTCATTCTTGTAAATCCCCTTACATAAGAAAATAAATATCATATCTTAATTTTTCTTACACCATTTCATAATAATAATAATAATAATAAACATACTTAATTATTATATTTTCCATCCCTTAATCCCATTTACTACGTCAACTGAATTGAACCTTTAATTGAGACGTCTCTTTAGTTCAGTATGGCATGTTCGTGGGCTGTTTTCAAGGAACGCTCGTCCCCGCTTCCTTGGAAAGTCGGTGGGAACGCTATCCATATTCACTTCCTTTCCGTCTTGCAATTTCCTAATTCCAGTCAAATTCTCTGCTCCTCTGTACTCCAGAACTCAATAGAATAACCACTACACCATCTAGAAAGTCAAGCGTGGAGATTTTCTATTGGCGCTGACCACAAATTACAGCACATGCTACCACTTTTCGAATAAGAACAACACTGCCTGCATATTTCGCCGCAATATCTGCAGGAACCATAAAGCATCCCCGCCTGCATATTTGGCCGCAATATATGCTAGATAAGGCTTCGTTTAGGGCAGTTTTTTTATTGCTTTTAAAATGAAATTTTAATGTAAAAATAAAAAAAAAATTGTACTAAAACTCCGTTTTAGAAAGCAATAAAAAAGCCGTCCCAAACGAAGCCTTAGTTTGGGATGACTTTCTTCCTGCTTCTTAAAGCTAATTTTTATACTAAAAAATAATTTTAAGAATCAGAAAGAAAGCCGTCCCAAATGAAATCTAAGACTTCGTTTGACACTACTTTCATTTATTATTTTTTCAATATTTTAAAGAAATTTTTACATTAAAAAATTGTGGTAGAAAGCATGCTATAAAAAAATCGTCTGAACGCAGTCTAAATTTGATGAAAATAATGTCTTGAAATTTTAATTAGTTGTATAATATTTAAATTACATATTAAAAAAAATCATTTATTATATCATTCAATTTTTGAGTTACTAATGTTGGATGCATAAATAAAAAGAAATTTGAATGTTGTTACCGCACTTATTTTTCAGGTAAAAAGAGAGAGAGAGGGAGAGAAATGTTGGGCTAAGGCTTGAATCAAACAAATATAAATATCTACTGGTTCATAGTTTATTACACAAACGCTGAAGCACCTGTAGCGGTGATAATAAAACAAGTACAAGTGCTGCTCAGTAAGATACATCACCTAATTTACTAGCGGAGACAAGCCACGCCACGTCATTATTATAACCGTCAAATGGAGTGACTCCACAACGGCATGTCACCACGCCATTCGCCGTCGTCCCACCCGAAGACACCGCCACCCGCCGCCGTCAACCCCGTCGGGAAGTACATACTCGAGTCCGTGGACAACATATCCGCATAATAATTATACCCATCGAAATCCATCACATCGGAAAAGGCATCATCTTGGGCCGTGCTGCTCTCGGGCTCCGTATGGGTCTGGTCCGACGGGGGCGCTTCTTCCTGCTGTTCGTGATCCGGCCTGGGGCGGAAGGCCTCGGCAGCCATGGCGGCAGCGCGCTGTATGGAGCGCGGGCTTGCGGGAGCAGGAGGAATAGGGAGGAGGCGGGCGGAGTCGGCGAAGTTGAGACAGGCTTGTCGGCCGCGGAGGGCGAGGGCGGCGACGTCGTGCGCGCGAGCGGCCATCTCCGGGGTCGGGAAGGTGCCGAGCCAGATACGGGACTTTTTATTGGGCTCGCGAACCTCGCAAACCCATCTGCCGGCGCCGCGGAGGCGCACGCCTTTGTAAACGGGATGGCGGGTCTCGCGGAACTTGGTTCGACCAGCGCGGCGCTTAGGAGGGGCTGAAGACACGGTGGCGTATTCTTCCTCGTCTTCTTCGAAGAAAAGCTCGTCGATTACTGTATCCATAGTGTGGGAGTGAGGTCGAGTGGGAGAGAAGAGCGGTGCGATTGTTGGGAAAAAGGGGAGGGAGTTTTGGGTGGTTTAAATTGGGGAGGGGACACGGAATTGCCAGCTGGGGGATGGGAGGCGGAGGTGGTGGGCCTTAGCTGTATATTTTTTTTTTTTGAACGGAGAAGGAAGAAGGGGATTTGGTGATGTGGCGAAGAGTGGAGACTGGCTGAGCTGAATGTGTCGGGGGCACGTAAGCGCGCTGGATTTGGGGCAGTTTCCGGGTGGCTTTCCGGTTTGGGTTCATGACAAATCCTGAGCGTGACCGCAATACGTGAAGTAGCTGTTAAATGGTAGGACAATTTTTTAAAAGAAAATTATTTAATAATTAATTAGGCAAAAAAAAAAATATATCCAAAATGGTCTTGGTATTTTTCGTTGTGATGGGGACATCAATCGTAAGAATTTAATGGAAGGAGAAAAATAAATTGTGTATTTTTTTATCGTGTAATAGAATAATGCATAAATGAAACTATCCAGTGGCGAGCGTAAGTGATAGTTGTTGCTTAGAGTTAGGGTTTTTCCTGCTCCCTCCTGTGCCGCCCCCTTGTAGTTCCCTCTTACCTCCTTTGACCTAGCCAGGTGAGACACTTTCCCTCGATGACCTCCTCTCCTTCCTCATCTGATTTCCCACTCCTTTGTAACCAGTCTCAGGCCAACTCCAACATTTTGTCTTCATCCTTAAACTGAAAGAACATTCTTTCTTCTGGTACCCTTCCTTCAAAAGATGTCCCTTTTATCCTTTATACTGGCTCAAGGGGATGTTCTCTCCTTCTTTGATGGAGAAACAAAATTTCGTCCCAAGGAGTGGTCTTTTTCGTTGGTTGGCTAATCCATGGTTTATAGACCTTACTAGTGGAAGAAGTAGATCCCATAGAAACAATAGGATGTCGACTAGATTTATCATAGCTCGATACATCTTCTGCAAACCTTGATAACCACCAGAATCCTTAACACTCCAATCCCCCCAAACACTACAAATAAACCCTCCTCCTCCACTAGCATAATCTCATCACACTTGCCCAACCCTCTGGTCATCCATATTCCTCCACCCTCACCATATACCCCTCTACTGATAAACCTGCATCTACTATAATTATGAACCTCAACTCACCTACTGATGAAGTCTCTAAAATTATTGTCTCCACTAAAGATCAACAACAAACTACTTCTTCTGCTCTGTCCTTAAACAAATTTTCTTTACTCCATACTACTGATGATACTTCTCTAGTCAATGCAGCCTCATATCTGTATGTATCTAACCAAATTCAAACAACCTCCACCTCTGCCCAATCAACCAAAGCTTTTAGAGGTAAGCAACCCAAAATGCCTCCAAACCCCACTCCAAAGAATCAATTATCCTCTCCTAAATTATTATTTCGAATTTTAGGGGGTTCAGTAACTCTACCAAAGTCTTCAACTATAAAGAACTTGTTCGTCATTTTATATTATGTGTTTTTTTTCATTTTGTAGAATATGATTTAGGAGTATTCTCTTTCTAATCCTTGGTTTTGTGCCACTCACCTTTTCATTGATCAAGAAGCCAATTTGCATAATTTTGACCAAGCTAAATCTGGCCATAATTGGGTTAAGTGGACCCTACTAAAGTGCATTTTGATGTCCCCTTTTCCTCTAGCCAAATTTTTATTGGGATGACCACTATTAGACATCTCCCTACTTTTCAAATGATTATCATTTATGCTTCAAATTCAACTACTGATCATTGTATTATGTGGAATCATTTAAGGGATGTCAAACCATCTTTTCACATACCCTAGACAGTCCTTGGTGACTTCAACTACTGCAAGTATCAAATGGATAGAGGAGGAGGTAGTGTGCTCTTCAACAATAGATTATGGGACTTCAATGTTGTCATATTTGATACTGATCTTATATAATTAGTTTTAATAGGGAACATTTTTCACATGGTTCAATCAATGAGGTGATAACCCTATACATCTAAAATTGGATAGAATCTTGGTTATGATTCTTGGATGAATTATTTTCAAGTTCTTTTTACAAAGTTCTTTCCCCTTCTTATTCTAATCATATTCCCTTCATTTTCAAATCTAATTTAAGTTACAGAAATAAGCACAGATTCCCTTACAAAATTATTTGGGCAAAAAATGATGAATTTTAGGAAGCTTTAATATTTATTTTCATAAGCATTATGAGGGGGACACTACAGGAAATTTATGAATTTTCGGCAGTATGATGTAACCGCCGGTACTAACAACGGTTAGACCGCTAGTGTTTACCGGCGATTTAACTGTCTGTTATTTAATTGACCTCTCTCGAAATTAGCGGCAGTCAAATAACTGTCGATTACTCTATCGGCACTAGTTCTTACTGGCGCTTTACCGACGGTTTAAACCGCCGGTGTTAAGTGATTTTTTCCAGGCGGTTAGAATCGTCGGAACGCCAACGGAAAAAGCCCTAAAATTAGCCTTCCCCAGCCTTCCATTTCATTTACTCGCATCGTCCTCTCTCTCCCTTCCGACAGTCGCCACCCGTCTTCTCCGCCCTCTCGCGATCAAGATGCTCCCTTTGGCCGCCGATAAGCTCCATCTGGCTGAATATCTGGCCCTCGGGCATCAAAGCAAGGCCGAAGATCTCGCCCCCACTCCTGCGTGAAACCGGTGTCCGAGTCCTGTAGGTTTTTTTTTTTTTAATTAATCATTTGTTCTTTCATACTCATAGGTTAGGATATTGTGAATATATGAAAGGGTAATGGTTATTTTGCTCCTATGCTAGCAATGGTAGGGCAATGGGTATATGGAAGGGCAATGGTAGGCACCTTCTGTATCAATGATACTCCTAATCATTTATTCTTTCAAATATGGGTATTTTGCTCATATCATTTGTTCTTTCATAATGAAAGGTTGGGTCAATGGTAGGCAGCTTCTCACTTTCTTCTTAATCCTCGTCCGTCCTCTCTTGAGATGGCCTATATAAAAAAGCTCTGTGGAAGATTGGTAATGCATCTACTTCTACTCTAATATTATTTATCTACTCTTCATCTTATTTAACTATTTCTTAACTCTAAAATGAAAATAAAATCCATTTCATCTCTTCATAAGTTAATATTAGCCTCCGGAAGTTCACTATTACCGCCGGTAGTTTCCGGCAGCTTACCAATGATTTCCGGTGATTCTCCGGCGATACGCCGGCGGTGGCGTCATCAGTAATTCCTTCGGTTATGACCGCCGATAAACCGTCGATAAATAACCAATGGTATTTTGGCGGTTTGGCCACTTGAAAAATCCGACCAAACCAGCGGTTAAATAGCTGGTATGCCACCAGTAAATAACCGGCGGTCACTGGCATTATGTCCGCCAGAAAACTCTACTGGCGGTATGGTCCACGGATAAATGCCGGTGCGTAAAACCGTCGGAAACGATTTCCTATGCTGTTTTTATTGGTGGCTTTTAAACTGTCGCAAAGCCACCAGTTTTGCACAAATCCGCCAGAAAGCTTATGATAACTACCGAAACAAGTCGTCGGTACTAAGTGATTTTCCTGTAGTGGGAATCATATATTTGCTCTTTATGCCAAGCTTCAATTTCTTAAAACTCTTATTAAAGAAAAACCTTGGACTAAATCTAATTTAATTTCCCTTGCTCTTGAGAACTTACATAACCAACTAAGTGAATATTTATCCCATCTTGACATTGACCCAGATAATGCCTTTATTAACCTCAAGCTAAAAAAGAACAAAGCAAGAACTGTTTATTGTAACACTTCTTTGGTTTCTTGGATTCCAATGATCCAAAAAGAAATGGATGATTCAGGGGCAAGATGATTTGAAATTCCTCTATGTCAAGATAAGGACTAGAATGAAGTACAATAAAATTTATGTGCTTGCTGCTGTTAAAACAAGTCTCCACGTCATTTTTTTCAATTTTAAGAAGCTTTGTACTCTTTATTTACACGTGTAACTCTAGGATTTTCTCTCTGTATTTTTTAGTATATTTATATCTATGTACTCATTCATTTCAATAAATGGAAAATAGTTTATTTCTCTTCTCTCATTCCCTGTTTCTTCTCTTCTTTCTTTTGACTTCCATCTGGCATTCGTGTTCTCATAGTATCAGAGACTAACATTCTTGTGTGCCTTTTTTCTCATCTTTATGGATTTCTCATCCACTTCGACAGCTGCCACTCAGGAAAATCCTTCTAGATCTAGTTTCCCTTCAACAAGTTCATCTATCCCACCCCATTTAAAGTTTTTAGTGTGTAACAACAAAAGCATTGTATGTATCCCACTCAACTCCGATAACTAGTATGGATGTCTCAAGTCTTCAAGATTTTTTGTGCAAATGGATTCAATGGATTTCTTGATGGTAGCTGTGTTTGTCCTTTCTAAACATCTTTGACTGAATCTAATTTCTACTCTTGTCAAACCTGGGTTCTTCTTGATCAAAATTTTTCATCCACCCTTTACTCTGTCATCTCCCCCAGCATCTTTCCATATGCTCTTTCCTTGGACCAATGTGTCAAGAATGAGATACTTTTTCCCTGCATCTTCAATCCACTACCCGATCTCGCATTATCTAACTCAAGAATGAAGTTCACCATATTTCCATGAAAGATCAGACTATGACATAATATATGCTTAAGATCAAAGCTAAAGTCAATGTTATTTCCTTAATTGGAACTACTCTTAACCTAAATGATATTATCCTCTACACTTTAAATGGTTTCCCTCCAAGTATTAAGCCTTCAAGACAACCATATGCACCGATCTTTAACCAATATCATTATATGATCTTTATACCTTGCTCTGTAGTGAAGAGTAGAACATTGCACAAGAAGCCTCCCGTGAACTTCACATCTTTCAAATTTATGAACCCACTACGACTCTTACTGCATCTCGTGGCCGTGGATGCTGTTGCACCTATACTCGTGGGCATTCATTCTCAGCAAATAGACCTACTCACAATCCTTCCACTCGCTCTGATAAAAATCAGAATCAATCTATTCTATGTCAAATT